TTGGTAACCGTTTTATAAAAGCAATAGCTCACTTCAGGGGAAGTGAGCTCCGCCTCACGTCGGGCCGAACCACGGCCCTTAGTTGTGAGATAATGAGCATATATCACGGCCTGAAGCGAGCTATTGCTTAAATATACTATGGTCTTAAAAGGCTCCATTACAAGTAAAAGTCAGTCTGGGAACCGAAACTCGGTTCCAGATGAGAACCGATAAGAAAAAGCAGAGTACTGGGTACCCATACAAAATACACAATTTTGGTTCTGCTTAACGGTTCCTAAACGCGGTAGAGCCTGTATTCCATCGGGTCCGGTGCAATACATTTCTATTGCATGTATATTTTTTATTTGTAAAAATGTCAGTTAAAGCTTAAAACAATAAAGATATTTTTGTTAACTAAACGTTTGACCTCTTTCTTTTACAATTTTGGAATCGAAACGGGGAATCGATAAGAACCGGAATTGATAAACAGAACCGGAATCGATATGTTTCAAACGATACCCATCCCTAGTAAAGAGTGAAATTAGAAAAGTATTAACAGTTAAATGTACCTCAATTAAAAGCAATAGGTATTTTCACTGTATTCTATTACTTTAGATGCTTTTTTTTTTTTACATGTAAGAGCATTTTAGTATTGGAGCAATGTGGACAAAATATAGATACTTTAAATACTGTTTGAATTAATAGCACTGTACTGCATTATACTGTATGAGCATATCATGTATTTTTATGTAGTAACTGTGTTAAAATTAATATAGTGGAGTAAAATGTATGACATGTAGTGGAGGAAAGTTGCATTAAATGAGTAAATAAGTAAAATACATATACAGTATGTAGAGTACTTGAGTAGGATACATGAGCGAATGTAATTAATTTCTCTATTTATACAGCGTGTGGATCAACGAGACTAGCTGCACCATTGTGAACTCCAGCATCGTGTGTGATGTAAACTGTTCCTACAGCTGTGGAACGGAGTGCTGGAGGCGTTCCCGTTACCCCTGCCTCCAAGTCTATGTGAGCCTCAACTCCTCGGGAAAAGTGGTACGACTGTTGCACAACGAGGAGGCGCAGGAAAGCAACCCAGAGGTCTGGACTGTAAAATGCCACAAACACTTATAATGTTACTAACACCTGGACTACAGCATGTCAGCCAGCTCTACAGATACAAACATATAATATTGTTTCTCTTCTTCAGTGCTTCTACATCCCAAAGTGCCAGAAGGACTATGCAGCCTTACATGCAATGATTCAGAACATTTCTGAGCGTCTCAAGTCTCAGCACACAGTCCAGTGTTTCGTGGACCCTACGGACAGAATGGACAGTGCCATCCTGATGCAGATCTATAGTTTGGTCACAGTCTTACACTCTCTGTTCTGGCCTACCTTCACCTTGATTGGGGGAACCATCATCATAGCTATGGTGAAGCTGACCCAGTCCCTGTCCATCATTTGCGAGCGAGCAAGCCGCATTAAGAGGTGAAGGATTGGAATACAATAGGCGCTTTCACACCGGAGTACTTTTCCAAGGAATAGTTCCGATAGTTCCTGGGATTTTGCGTTCACACCAAAAAGATCTGGAACGAGAACTTTTTTTCGGAATCCTTTTCAGTCCATGCTAGAGAGGTGGTACTTTCCTGGGGAAGAAAAGGTTCCAATTTCTGATAGGCTGGGCGAACTGCAAACCACGCCCCGTAAAACTCAGAAAGGTTTTGTGAAGCCGCCATTTTATTTGCTCGCATTAGCATTATTGTCATTAGCCCAGCGCAACAACGGAGAGAGACTAACTTATGGCAACACAAAATAAAACGTGGGAACGGTGGAGTGATGAGGAGGTGTCGGCGCTTCTGGCGATTTACCTGGGACTTCGGGTGGCAGTATACGCCCTGAAGTTGTTTGCGTCCTGCCAGTAAACCCAAAGCAGAAGAAGAAGTGACGTCAGCGGCTTCATTTGCGTAATCCTCCCTCAGGGACTTATTCCGGTATGAACGCGATCTACTAGATAGTTCCGGGGAACTAAATTCCGGGAACTATTCCTGGGAAAAGTACTTGGTGTGAAAGTGCCTATTAAGTCCAAAATGAAGTTCCTGTTATACAGGAATGGGGACAACGGTAAAAGCTTTGACGGGCCTGACAGAAGACTAAAAGCTGAGATGTAGTCTGTCTGTGAAAGCTGGGGTGATGCAATATTAAAGGGAGGGAATCCTCATGACACACATTTTTAAATAATTATCATCCGATAAAACAGACCAGTCTCTGCCAGTCTTTTTTTTTTTTTTAATCCGATGACGTTATCAGTGATTTTAAGCTGATTAATTACCGATATAACATCAACCCTGTGGGCGGCGCCATTTTGACGAGTCACATGACTTATTTTACCGGAAGTGACGTGAACTATGCGTTTGGAGTCGAGGACAAATTGACGTATGTGCTTTGTTCATGTTATTTACTCTAGTTACTCTCACAATTGTATTGAGATATGCCTCATTGTATCGCGAATCATTGCCACAATTCGGATAGGAACAATCCACGGAATGCACGTGTGCACGTGAATGCTCCGTCAATGCTCCGGAATGCTTTCTTTATTTGATTGATTAACTACTATGGAATTTATTCAACTACATTGTACCATTATTATGTTAGGCAGGGCTGCCAACACTCACGCATTGAGCTTGAGAGTCACGCAATTAACCCATATCTCACGCCCACACTTGCCTTTCCTCACGCTAAGTTTTCGTCCAAAACAAATGTATATAAATATAAAAATAAAGTGAAGGAAAAGCAAACCGAGCGGTCTACGAAATGAGACGGTCTTCTGGCTTAGTTCAGTAA